TAAACCCACACTGAGATACTGCTAAACACCTCTCAGAATGTGTAAAATAAAAAATAGTGACAACACCAAATACAGAAGATACATTTGAGACAGGATATTGGATCCTAGAGAGGAGACTGGATCATTCAGACATTGTTGGTGGGAATGTGAAATGGTATAGCTGGTCTGGAAAAATTTATCAGTTTCATGTGAAACTGAACTTGCAACTACCATAAGGTCTAGTAAGTGCACTCTTGGGAATTTATTCCAGAGAAATGAAAACTGCATTCACACAAATGTCCATAGCAGCCTTCTTTGTGATACCCTCAAACTAGAATCAGCCCAGATGTCCTTCCACAGGTGAATGATTAAAACCTGTGGTACATACATACCATGGGCTACTACTCAGGAATAAAAAGGAACAGACTATTTGATAGATACAGCTACTTGGCTGAATCCCCAGAGAATTATGCTGAGTTTAAAAATCCAATTCCAAAAGCTGACATACTATTCTCCAAAAGGTTATGTAACATTTTTTAAATTATAAAGGTTTAGAAATGGAGATTTAGATTAGTGGTTACCAGGGGTTAAGGAAGTCAGGGTATAGGGGTGAAAAAGTGGGAGTGAGGTGGTTGTGGTTATAAAAGAGCAACAGGATTGATTTTGTGATGTTAGAAGTGTTCCATATCTTGACTGTGGTGGTGTACGCACAAATCTACACATGTGATAAAACTGTATAGAACTAAATACACACGTGCACATACATGCAAGTCAAACTGGAGAAATCCGAATTGGATTGGTGAACTGTATCAGTGTCAATATCCTGGATGGGACAATGCACTATAGTTTCCCAAAGTGTTACTATTAGGGGAAACTGGGCAAAAGATACTCAAAATTTCTGTATTATTTCTTACAACTACCTCTTGTGGGAGAAGAGAAAATTTCCCTTCTAGTCCTCTTGGTTCTTTTGGCTGGTCTAATTAAATTAACACAATACAGATTAACAGGGGGGAAATCCCAAATTTAATTTTTTATGTGCATAGGTCCCATAGGTATGGCACCTCAAAAGTGACTGAAGCAGACTGTTTATATACCTTTTTAGACAAAGAATCAATTATTTGTGAAGATTTGACAAAACAAAGGGATTTGGGCTTAGACTAGCAAACTACTGAAGATTTAACAAAGTTTATTGATACAGCATTCCTCTACCGGAGCCCTACCTCCAGAGGGAAGGATGACTTCCACCCTCCACCCTCCAAGTTGGGAGGATACCTCCCCATGGGAGCTTTTGTTTCCTGCTCTCAGGAGAGCAAAGTAGTGTCAGTGTTCTTCTCAGACTGGCTCTTTCTCAAGTAACTTGAATTCAGAATAATCACTACACCAAAGTAGCATATTTTGGGATGGCTTGCCCTGAACCCTATCAATGTGAATCTACAGTGATCTCAGTAAATATTTCAACTAAAAACGACAGTTAGAGGTGTATTTCAACCCTATTTGTGTCCCCAGAGAGGACAAAAGAAATGATCTACTTAAAGATGGGCTGTTTGTCACCAGACCACACGATATGTTATTTGCAGTACTAAGTCGGGGGTGGAGGTGTTAGAGATCTTCAGTGACTACTCAGTGCCGGCTGAAATATGGAACAATGAGGCTGCACAACAGCCGTGTGGCTAGAGAGACTTGAGATCAAGATGCTGGAGCAGAAGCTGTCAGCACAAATGTTTTTGCTCAGTTCCAGGGTTTCAGTTAAAAGATCTCATGAGCATTAAAGACACTTAAACACTTTCAAGCACTTTCAAGTTTTACCCAGAAGTTAATAAACTTCAAAAACTGCTTGTTTTAGCATGTGATTTTTGACTAATCTATTTCAATAATTTAGTTTGCCTTTTTTTTTAATTGTAGTATAGTCAGTTTACAATGTTGTGTCAATTTCTGGTGTACAGCATAATGTTTCAGTCATACATATACATACATATATTCGTTTTCATATTTTTTCCACTATAGGTTACTAAAAGATACTGAATAGAGTTCCCTGTGCTATACAGTAGAAACTTGTTTATCTGTTTTATATATAGTAGTTAGTATCTGCAAATCTCGTCCTCCCAATTTATCCCTTCCCACCCCTTTCCCTCTGGTAACCATGTTTGTTTTCTATGTCTGTGAGTCTGTTTCTGTTTTGTAAATAAGTTCATTTGTCTTTTTTTTTTTTTAAGATTCCACATATAAGTGATACCATATGGTATTTTTCTTTCTCTTTCTGGCTTACTTCACTTAGAATTTCAATCTCCAGATCCATCCATGTTGCTGCCAATGGCATTATTTTATTATTTTTTTATGGATGAGTAGTATTCGATTGTATAAATATACCACAGCTTCTTTATCCAGTCATCTGTCAATGGATATTTAGGTTGTTTCCATGTCTTGACTATTGTGAATAGTGTTGCTATGTAGTTTCCCTTTTTTACTATTTTTAAGAGGAATAGAAAGCAAAAGATGAATTTATGATGTCAAGTAAATGGTTTGCTTGCATTGACTTTTCTTTCAGTTTCAACCTTGTGACTGAATTCACTTTTTGGCTGTAACATGGACACTGTTTTACTTTTTCTCAGAACATGGTTTTTAGTCTATGAGTACATCCTACCCAGGCATTCATAGTTGATAGAACATGATCAGTTTCTAAAAAGTTGAACTCCTCATATTCTTATTGTTGTCCTGGTTTCTGATTGATTGTTTTGCTTTTCTTCCGACACCGAGGGAAGTATGTTTCAAGCTTCAAGTATAATAGATTCTGTCTGGGCCATCACATCCCCAGCTTTCCTAAGGAACTGCAGAAAAGATGTGTCCATATATAAGAAATCCTCTTTGCCTTTCCTAAGCTCTGTGAAGAACTGAAAGCTCTGGAATATAAAGTGCTTGAAAGTTGGGAGAGTTCAGGATGAAAGTGAGAGAAAAATGGAATGGGAGCTGTAAAGAAAGAGGCAAGAGAGCTGGTATGTTGCTTTTCTTAAAAAACAAAACAACTCAAAGATATAATATTTCAGCATATTTGATAGGCGTCTGATTGATATAGTCCATCCCCTGTCTATAAGAAGAGTGTGGTAAGGCGCTGCTTGCAAAATGACATTCTGTAATGAGCCATATTTAACACTCCTTCAAAGTAGATGACTTCTTGTCCGTATTTCATAGACAGATATGATTGGCTTTGGAAGTAACGGTGAGAAAAGCCCAAGTCCTGTTGTACTCTTTCCTGAGCCCAACTTGGATATTATGGTTATTGCTTTCATTATGTAGTCTTAAGGTTAGACCTTGAATTTTATGCTGTCAGAAATTTCCCAGTGCTGGGCTCCCATTAGCAAGGTCAGAAGCTCATTTGGACTCAAAACTGTAAAAGAATCCAGCCATGATAAGTGGGTCAGTGCTTAAAGCAGTTAAAGACATGGTGATCAGATCATGCTGAGAGCAACCACCTGGGACAATTTAGCCACATTAAAGTCTTGACCACATGGAGATTTTGGAAAAGCGAGATGAGGTGTGTGTGGCGGTGGGGGTCAGAGGGAAGATCTTGGAAAGAATGCAGGAATATCTGCTACAGGTGGCCCTAAATGGAAAAATAATTATTTTCAGAAACACATGGGAAGAAGAAACCAGGTGCCAAATAGGCTTTCAGCAAACCTGCTCCTTGCAGGACAACTTCATCTGCCACCCTCCCCAACACCTGGTTCAAATCTTCCAAAATCTCCACCCACTTAATTCTTAACTCTTCATACCTTAACTTTAAGAAGTCTTTCCTGATCTGTGCCAAGTCCCCCTATTTGACACCCCCATACTACTACTTACCTTTTCCTTCATGGCCTCTATCATAGCTCCAAATTTACATTATTTGCATCATTACCTTTGAACTTATTATCACCATTATTTACTAACGGTATTATTTGAATTGTTTAATTATTAATCAAATTAATTATATTACTATTACACTTATGTACGTCATTACTACATTTACACCACATCGGTGGCTGGCTCCCAAACTGTAAACTTCAACAGAGCAGGGACCTGTTTTGTTCACTCATGTGTTCCTAAGCTTAACACAGTGCCTGACACACCGTAGGTGCTTAGCCAATATATGTTAATCAGTCTTCCTGACCTCGTGAACTCTGTTTAGATGGGCTAGAAGGCCTATGCGTATAATGGTATGGAACAGGCTGTCTAAAATTCCAGGGGCGGGGTTCCGGTTTCCTACCCCGGGGGCCTAGGTAAAGAAACCGAGGTTGCCTATTTTGCAAAGAGAACACTGAAACCATCGTTTTAAGAGACGGCGGAACCCCGCCCCTTTACAACTACAAGACCAAACAAGCTGAGAAGCAGCCCTGAAAGGTTTTTCTGGATCAGAGACACCGATTGCAGCAGAGGTTCTGCGCTCCAGGGTACTACCTGGAATAAACCCTGCAAAGATCCGGCTGGCGCGCGTAGCCGGGCGTGCCAGCTGGAGGCTGTGCTTGGACTGCACCCTCTCATTTCTCCCGCGCGAAACCGGCCGGACGGCTCCACTCCCTCCCTCCGCTACAGGGGGGAGTCCGGCGCCCCCAGACTGGCAGCCACCTCGCGGAACGCCCAGCTGCAGCCCCTTATCGCGTAGTCCGCAAAGTGAAGTTCACAGGTCGCGAAGTTTGGGTCCCTAAGTGGAGCCTAGCAGGCGGACGCCGCGGCGC